TTCTCCCTTGCGTTAAAATAATCACTATAAATATATAGAACATTAAAGACTAACTAACCAACCAGATGGCTTACCGAACCCGAAGTTACATCACCGAATTAACCAAAGCCCTCCACCGGACCCTGTCCTGGGCCAACAAAATCCAGTCTCCTTCAACTCCTATCTCCCATAGATCCCGCCTGAGATTATCCTCCCATCTACGTCTAGGTCTCCTCAGATGTCTCTTCCCTTCAGGGTTCCCAAGTAGTGGACCCAACCAACCAGATGGCTTACGGAACCCGAAGGTTCATCACCGAATTAACCAAAGCCCTCCACCGGACCCTGTCCTGGGCCAACAAAATCCAGTTTCCTTCAACTCCTATCTCCCACAGATCCCGCCTGAGATTATCCTCCCATCTACTTCTAGGTCTCCCCAGAGGTCTTTTCCCCTCAGGCTTCCCGACCAGTACCCGGTGCACACCTCTTGTCCCATCCATGCGCGCTACATGCCCAGCCCATCTCATTCTCACCTGCTTTAAAAATATATAACTCTGGTTTCTTATGATTCAGCGTAACCAGCGATTATTTCCTTAAACAGCGTTAACCAACTAATCTTTGTAATGGTGAAGAGATGTGTTTTCTTCGCGGTACGGACTTAATTATTAAATACTATTTGAAATAGCTACTGCTTCAAAGGATTTAAAGTTCTGTATTAAGTCAACGTTTAAATAATATTTTCATACGAAAGAACACGCTAAATTCAGGATCCACCTCACGTGAGAGCGTATGAGCCAAGCAGCAGCCATGTTGATATTTTAAATACAAATAAATAATTAACTTCATTTACTGATTATGCTTTTATTGTTAGTGGTATCATTAATAAATTTTTGATTTTCGGTTTAAGAATCCCCAGAGTTAATTAAGGTTATTTGACTCATAAAGTTTACTTGCTTTGTGTGTGCTTGCGATGAGCTGGAATTATTGGGATTCCTGTTTCAAACTATATTTTCTTGCATTATTAAAAATATATTTTATATTATTTATATTGATTTTATAGACATCGATGAACTAATAACAACTCGTCAGATTCGGTAGACCACAGAGATTTTTTACCTGAACATACTCGATGATATTACTTTTCCCACCTACTTAAACCTTAATTAAGAATTATCATTTCACATTTTTAATTACAATGGTTTCAATATTGATAACTATAAAATAATTTACCAATTTGCTATTTCTGAGACGTGCATGTCAAAACAATTTTTTTTTTTTGTAATATCTCCGACACAGCATTAATAGGGTTACGAAATGTAGATCTAGAAATTTTTCGATTATTTAATGTTTCATGGACAGTAACATTGTGATTTACATTTGGACCGACTTCGAATCTGTAAGCGGTTATAAAACGCGACGAGCCACAGAATTCACGTGACCTTTCATGTATATTTACGACGGCTACTGGTAGAAGAAAATCACTTTTATGTCAACCGAAATCACCAAAATAGAGTTCTGTGAAGTGAAAGGCAATTTACAAATGTATTTCTCTCTGTTGTGTTTCCTGTCTTTATCACCACAGATTATTTTACCGTAAACTTGGCATTGTTTTAGCTGCAGGGTCTCGTACATTCACACTATTTGCCTCTTAACGTAGGAAACCGGCATTTAAGTACACGCTTCTCTGAAGTCAAATGAACCGTACTTTCAAAATGTTTGCACAGTTTGGTTTAGAATGGTCATTCACTTTTGTGAACGTGAATTTATGTTCGTAATTATTCCTAACAACTGATCCTTTATAAATATTCCCACCTACAAACACGCTATATACTTGTATACTTCTCTTACAACTAATTTTATTTTATGTTAATTATAATTATCCCCTTAAAGCCTAATGGTAATTATCCGTACCATCTGCTTCAACAATAAATAAAAATTTATTTTGTAATAATAGGTTTAGAATAATCAACGTAAAATGAGATTATTTCCTTAATCAGCGTTAATCATTTGATCTGTGCAATGGTGGAGAGGTGTGTTTTCTTTGCGGTTCGGAACGAATTCTTAAATATTATTTAGAGAAACTTCGACTGGTTCCCAAGGTCCAAGTTGCCACTGCTAGCTTCTCATGCAGCCCTCCCGACTTAAATTAATCAAAATTTACCACCCCTTAACGCCGTCAAAATTTACCCCCCCACCCCTCAGTAGGAACTTCTAAATTATGTATTAAACTTTCAAATTAATAGTCTTAGCTTTCTCTAATACAAAATTTCAAAATTCCGTCTTTTATGCCAATCATCACACTAACGCCTCCACTCTTACTTTATCCTTAACAGAAGGACGAGCGGGCATTGCCTGGGGACCTTCTAGCTATAAGATGCACTTTCTCCCCCCCAGATATCGAAGTGTCTCTCACTTCTCCCCCACCAATTTCCTCTTTCTCTCTCTCTCTCTCTCTCTCTTCGACTTCAAAGGGTTAGTGTCAAAGATACTTTCACACATGCGGAATCATAAATCAGTGAAAATGTACAATGCGATGATTTTTCCGACAATAGAATGATAAAAATAAATAAAAATATAAATTCTTTTTTTATTTTTACGTTTTACGTTATTGTGGAGCTAATAAACACTAAGATCGATTAAAAAACACTTGAACATTCGTGCGTGACGTAATTAAATTATCAAACTGTCATGATGTGACGATAATCAAAACTCAGACGTACGATTGTACGTTTTTTGGCTTCAAAGATGTAAGATTATGAATAAAAACGAAGACCCGCGTTTAATTACAGGAAACCAAAATGTTCTACATCTGCCCAGATCCAAATGAAATAAAGAGAAACCCCTACACAAACAACGATAAGACGAATACTCAAACCAAAGCACCAAACTTCTCTATTTTTGTTTCTGTATTACTGCATTAAAATATTACTAACAAAAAAATTATGTGAGTTTAATAATAAATGTCAAGCCAGAGGTACTTTATGTCACAGACATATGTCTAAAGGACTCCCAGAAACCCACACGTGTATTTATAAACAATATTTTTTGTGTACCAATGAATTCTTTTTTGTAAAAGATCTGGTTAAGGATCTTCGTAGGTTTAAAAAATAGCCCCCATATGCCAAACGGTCTTGTAGAAACTGGCTAAATCACTTAGTGATTGACAAACAAACTAACTAATAGCACAGCCTTTCTCTTACAGTTGGTCCTTATTTATTTTTTCATTAAATTTCTTGTTGTCAGTTTGTGTATTCAAAATGGGCTTATAGGAGTCAGAAAAAAAATACAAATACAAATTATTGATTGGTTTTATACGTATCACACAATTTTAGAATAAATATATATATAAACAAATTATAAGGTAGTACATTTGCGTCATATTGTGAATTAGGTTAATATTTTAATATTTTCCGTCAAATCACAATTTTAATAAGATAATAAAATATAAAATATTTAAAATATCGATCGATCATTCGATGCGGAACGTGAAATGATATTTTAAATATTTTAAATATTTTATTATCTTATTAAAATTTGTGATTTGACGGAAAATATTAAAATATAAACAAATTAAGCAAAATTTTGGCTTAAAAGATGATGTAATTAAGTCGGGGAATTCAGATATGCAGATTAATTAAAATGTGTAGGTTGTTAACCTGACAAATTTCAACTGAAAACCTTCATTCCTGACTGATATGGGTTAGGATAGACCAGTTTCGATCAAGGCCGATCGCAGGATTCAATATCAGCTTAAATTTGTTAGGACCTCAAAATTCGTATACGTACAAATACTTAAGCCACTGATATACACATTTTTACATCAGAAACAAGTTATTCGTAACTAGAGGCAATACTGGAAATGAATCCTGCGTTGCAAACAAAATTTGAGACTAAAGGCAGGGTCTACAAATGGTGATAACGTGTTAAAATATTTGACGAGAATCATATGCACCGAATATAATTGCAAATTTAAACCATGTTACAAGACGATTAAAGATAAATTTACCAAATTTTAATAGCGAATGTACACATTTCTTCATCCAACTATTGAGGCTGATACTTAAAACTTATGATATATGCCTAATAGCGAGAAATGTAGTCTGCTTCGTAAATATGTTATCTGAATTTCAATACACTTTCATTCGGTTTTCGAAAATTCATTTTATATTAGTCTTTTCAAATGAATGGAAAAAATCTTTGCTCACATGTGCGCGTATCGATCGCTGTTAAATATAACGCGGATTTTTTTTTTTTTGTTCAGAAAAATCTTTATCAATAATGCTACAACGTATTTGTTTCTAAAGTTCCCATTTCCATTTGGATTTCTGTAGGCAGTGAAATCTATGCGATCAGTTGAATTTTAATTTCAACTAAAAACTCTGCAGAGTATTTTAAATGTACCTTGAGAATAAAATGAAGTATTTAATTTATCAATCCCCCTCTGAACTTATTAACCCGTTGAGTTAACGTAGGACAGTACCAACAATGCCGCGAATATGACGTAATTTTTTAAAAAAAAATTGTGCTCGTAATTTTTTTAAAAAAATTGTGCTCGTAATTTTTTTAAAAAAATTGTGCTCGTAATTTTTTTAAAAAAAATTGTGCTGGTAATTTTTTTAAAAAAAAAATTGTGCTCGTAATTTTTAAAAAAAAATTGTGCTCGCAACTAGAAGCCTATTTTGTGTTGATATTCTAGCATTTGCTCGAGGCACTGAGGGGTCCATAAAGGTGCAAGATTTCTCGAAAGGGTGTTGCTTTATCGGGGTACAGCGTTACTTGTGAATGAGACATGTCATAACGTTCGCTGCCTCGCTCCATGCTTAAATTACCTAAGCAGACCTTCACATCATCTTTCGACAGCCCCTGACTCCCCCCCCCCTCCTCCTCCCTTCCAACCGACACAATGTCCTAAAATCCTCTTGCTATAGCGTAAACGCTGAAGTTTCTCGGGTACAATTTTAGCCAGTAAGGCGGTCAAGTTGGCAACACTAACAAAACAGCATTCCCAAGACAGCGATCTTCCTGTGTCATCCATTCAGTTGAGATACGCAGTGAAAGGAACTCGGACACAAGTAACAATCAGACGAGAGTCAACCAGGAAGTGACGTAACGTTCTGCTGATACCTGAGTCGTACACCGCAACACTGTTTTGTTTTGTTTTTAAAAAATGTCAGTTACGTGCTTAAAAAAAAAAACTTGTGACAATTTTCATTTGTGAGTTTACAGACCGATATTGATGTTCAGTGTAATGGATTTTAGTTTATACAATTCTTAACACTGCCTTTCTGATACCGTTTTGAATTATGGATTGTTAAATAAACACATCGACAATTGACACCATGGATTTTATAGAATCATCAGTACAGTTCACGTGAAAGGAATTGACACTGTCATCTCATCTATGGATGTCAAATGCAGTTCTATTTAAATTTCTACTAGTTCCATAGTCACACAAAATAATTTTTGGATAATAATGTTTTTTTAAGGTAAGCTACAAATGTTATATATGTGTGTGTGTGTGTGAAGTACGGAGTTTCTTACCGATATAAAATAATGTATATTTTAATATTTGTTTTTTTTTGGACACGAGACAGCAAGTTAAATCATTACTATATCATAGCGAGAAAGACAATACAAAATTTAAATTTCTATAAATTAAATCACGAATACGATTCTTACTAAATCTTCTCACGCCACACCCTGCAAATTTGCCATATTTTTTTCAAATAGAATGTATATATGGTTCTTATAAGATTCTCAGATTAAAGAGCTATTATTTCGCGATCATTGTCTTTTGAGTTAGCAATTGAATTTTTATTCTTATTAACATAATCTTGGTGCATCAATTGGTTAAAGGATGTATTTCGCTTTCCATGGTCCACAAATTGTAACTCTGTCCTACTTTCTGCCGGAATTACGTGAAAATATAGACATATTTCTTATTCTCGACGTTTTATTCTAGGCAAATCGCATTATAAACGTCTGTTTTTGTGTTATATTTTATGATATTTATGCTGTCTCACAAGAAATGTAACATCCTTAGCATAAACCACTAGCTGATGTGTTCCAATCAGCTACAAACCTTCTAGAGATTCTTGTTAGAGTATTATAAAGTGAAATTGGAATAGATTACGTCACGAATAGACTAAGCAACTAGCAGGACGACATTTAACGAGAATATTTTACAGGTGTAGTACGTCTCTACCAACTGATTTTGGGATCTGTTAACAAATAAATGGAGCGAAGGCCTGTGTATTTCAAGCACATCTGCTGCAAATTTCAAATAAAATAACGTAATGTAATAAAACAATTTTGTTTCTGGTAATAAACCGTATTCCTCGAGTGTATTAGAATCTTCTCTAACATATTTCTAATGCAAATGTACGCACTATAAGATTCTATAAAAAAATTTCCACGGCTGAAGGCGGGTGATGTTTAAAGTTAAAATTATTAGAATATATTTTATTCCTACGTAAATTAACAACGTCGTTTTGCTTTAGAGTCTGTGTGGCACGAGATGAAATCTTGGTCACAATATCTTTCAAATTTTGTTGTGAAAATCTTAGCCAGTATCAAGACAACGTTCTGGAGAAAATCAAATCAATTAATACCTCATACAGCTTGATCTGGCCGGGATTCGAGTAGGCAGTCTCCCGTATTTTGTTTTGAATATCAGTGGACAAATTTGAAGACACAAGACAGTCTCTTATCCACTTTTAATATTTTTACTGATAACAATAATTTTAAGAGGACACTCACATGTAAACTGTAAGATTCTATAAAACATTCCTAACAATTCATATGTTAAAAGATAAAGAATTTACTTCAGAAATTCTCTACCCCATGAACAACGCAAAAGGTTAAATTTCGTCAATATCCACTAAGCGATTTTAGTGCGAAACAAACTTATTTCATTTTTACCTGTTAAAATTCTTACGTAAGCTTTGCGAGCAAGCAAGGACACGTATAATTTACAGCGAACGGTGTTAAATTTGGAAAGACGGTTAAGACGTCCTGGGTATAATAAACTAAACTGTTCAAGACGCCGTGAACCAGAAAATCTATTCTGTCACATGTCGAAGCCTTTAAGCGTATCCTAGAGCATTTCTTGATGCATTAATTACAAACGCCGCGTAATTCCGCAGAAGATTGTGAAGACGTTTTGTTTAGACACATAAATAATGATTTTCCGTCTAACAAAATTCCAAAATGTTTTGAATACAAAACATTAGCTAAGAGGTATTTTTATGTCAGAATTAAAATAAAGGTTCAATTTATAGCTCTATGACCTAAGTATAAACATACGAATTTTTTTTAAAAAAACGTAGTTTAAAAATAATAAAGAATTAAACCAAAAAATCTCATTCTATTAGAGACTAAGTAGAAACAAGTCTGTAAATAACATTTATCTCGTAAATTATACTAATAAACTAATGTTTTACGCATACAGGAAGTGAAATACTGAAAATAACTTTACGTAAACACTTGGAATGGTCTCTTAAATCACTAACCTGGCATCTATCGATAAAAAACCTTTCAGAAAGTTCGAACTTAATAAATAAAATACTGAATCTTGTTTCACATTTGAAGGAGTCCTGCGTTTAAATCTGTGTCAGGACACCGGTCGTCCTGCTTTCCTCGTTTCTGTCCTTCGTCCTTACAAGTAAATTTTCGAATGTTACCAGAACTGCTTCCTCACTAACACCTTCTAATTTTAATCTATAATCACTGCCATTTCCCACATCCCTTGCTTTCGGCCATCGTCGTTTAGTGAACCACAAAACTTGAGCAATTAAAGACTGGAAGAGGTATTTTGTGTGTGGGAATTCTCGGAAGTATAAAAAGTATCACTTCCCGTCTGATTTCTAAGAACCTAAAGATTAAAATATACAAAATAATAATTTTGCCTGTTGTTTTCTATGGGTGCAAAACATGGTCTCTCACTCTGAGGGAGGAACACAGATTGCAGGTGTTTGAGGAGGATATTTGGGCCTCGGAAAGAAGACTATTTGGGAAGCCTGAGGGGAAGAGACCGCTGGAGAAACCTAGACGTAGATGGGAGGTTAATCTCAGGCGGGATCTATGGGAGATAGGAGTTGAAGGAGACTGGATTTTGTTGGCCCAGGACAGGGTCCGGTGGAGGGCTTTGGTTAATTCGGTGATGAACCTTCGGGTTCTGTAAGCCATCTGGTTGGTTGGGTCCACTATTTGGGAAGCCTGAGGGGAAGAGACCTCTAGGGAGACCTAGACGTAGATGGGAGGATAATGTCAGGCGGGATCTATGGGAGATAGGAGTTGAATGAGACTGGATTTTGTTGGCCCAGGACAGGGTCCGGTGGAGGGCTTTGGTTAATTCGGTGATGAACCTTCGGGTTCTGTAAGCCATCTAGTTAGTTAGTTCTGGGATTTACAGGTGAGTTTGTTTCTCTTTAAAGGCGCTATATGAAATATATAATTAAGGGTACGATAATTTATGATGGTTATGAAAGATGTTGAAATATCAAAGAATGGCACATTCCTGTAAATTTAGCGTGTGGAGCATGTAGCAAACATGTAATATGTCTCTCTTTTGTGTTATGCTTAGGGAAATTCAAGATGATCCAGATAGCAACGAGAAGAACATGTCTTGAGAAGTAGCAAGGATAACGCAGTAAGTCAGATGATGACGCCAGGGACCTCCAGCATGCTACGTGCTCGTCGACGCGATGTCAACGTCAAACCAAACAGACGGTTGGATCGCAAGTCGTCACGTGGTATGCTCTACGAGAACGAGGAGCTCAGACTGAGAACCATTAACATCAACGCTGAGGTTGAGAGAGGTAATCATGGCGTCTTACGACGTTATCACGAACCGAAACCGATTAACTAAGTAACTAAGTGACTGATATCCAAACCCCACGCAATAAATAGACCTGATGATGGACGCAGGAACGACCTTCGAAACGTTGGTAAACTTCTACCATAGTATACGACGCTACAACACAGAAGTCGCCCATCTTCATACTCGCCAACATAAGAACCTAAAAAACCCTACTTAAACATGCTAAGTAATTAAGAAAATACTGACTTAAAAATTACTTGTTTCCCCGGATTGTTGTTAGATATTTATCTATACAATAAATACGCGTTTGTTATGCCGTAAGACATAACCCAAAACAGTACAGACGTGATTAAACTACGTAAGCATTAGTAGTGTAAGCTCTGATTATGTAAGCAGAGACACAAGATTACATCCGAAATTTTCCTCTCTTACAAATACGTAAAAGTGACTTTATTCACATCTTATTATTCAAAATATATATTCGTCGAAACAAGGCAATGGACCTATAAACATGTTATTTGGTTCATAACAGCTGTAGAATGTAACATAAGGCTCACTTTCCTCTTTAAAAATATACAATGTGGTGTACTATTAAGGTGCAGGAAGAATTTAATTTATTAATACAGTTGGACCACCACACGAAATAACAAACAAATCTTCAGCAAAAGAACATTAAAATTCCGTATTATGAAGGCAAGAAACCAAGGCCCTTGTCGTTTACATCTGATGTTTTAATTACCATAATTTTGGTAAAATGTTTACGGAGAATATTGCTAATAGAATGTGATTTATGAGTCAAACTTAAGTAATTTCAGTCCATATATGAGCCTATACATACTCCGACAAGATTAACAAACAAACAAATAATAACACACCTGAGTCAAAAGAATTCTGATATCAAATGAAACCTGATGTTTAACAAATGTATCATCCGATGTGAGCTATGCTGGCAGGATTTTTTTTACATAGTCCCTAAAGGATGCTTCCTAACCTTTCCTGCCCTTCAATTTCCATATATATACGTATGTATCATAAACTTATGTGCGACTGAGCAAGTTATTACTAACAGGCCTGCCAACTAACAATTATAATAACCATGGTTTCACAGCGTGGTCATAGTCAAAATATCTACCACTTAAATGAATAAGAATAACTTCATGAAATCGACTCAGAAGTTAATTACGAATAATGACAACTCCCTTGATAATAATAATAATAATAATAATAATAAAATCCTCTATAATGACCGCGAAGCCTGTGAATCCGTGTATATTACAAAGGTACCAACTAAATCCGTGTAGACGTGTCCTTAAAAAGCTAACAGTTGTTCAGATAGTCAAAAATTCGCCGCATTATATGGACCCTGAATGTATTGTCAGTAGCGGGAAACACACAACACTAATTTCCATATTAATTTTGCCGAAATGTTTAATCAGAAAATAACATTAAAATCTCAACTCAAATATTACGAGTACATGCCTATAGCTATCCTTAAGAACAAGAAATATAAGCTATATTAGGAAACAGCTAGTATTACTAACATAGAAATGTAACATATTAGCCTACACATTAGTTAGTTTGATAATAATTTATCCTCCCCGCCGTGATAACCTCAAATCTTAAACAGAATTATATCTATAGACTTTTATAGGACTATCTTAATTAAAGATTTTCTGTTTAGGCACAGATCGGGATGTATAGGAGATAGGGGTTGAAGGAGACTGGATTTTGTTGTCGCAGGACAGGGTCCGATGGAGGGCTTTGGTTAATTCGGTAATGAACCTTCAGGTTCTGTAAGCCATCTAGTTAGTTAGTTAGTTAGCCAGGGCATAGAAAAAATATTCTTAGCGAAACGGTGGTAAGCATTTTCCGAAATTGATAATATGTTATTAATTTCATAATTAATTAGGGAATTTTTGATTATAAATACCCTGTAGAAACCGACATTTATGTAGAACTTCATAATTGCATGGTTCTTATTTTAATTTCAGTTCAGTTTATTTCTGTCTGGAGTTTAGTGTAAATGTGATCCAAGTTCTTATTGTAGTATATTTATTCTGTAGCAATGAAATATATTTACGAAATGAGAACTATCTTTTGTAAAATGTGCACAGACACTGAATACATATACAGAACTAAGTGAGATGTATTGCGTATTTGTCTTCAGGCCAGAACGATATTAAGAAACTGCGTAGAGAGAACGAACAGTTGAGACGAGAAATCTGGGGTCTGCGAGAGGAATATGACCGTCTAGAAGGGCTGCTGGGTAAGGCGAAACGTCGTGGGCAGCTCGGACACACAAGTCAGGACTCCGACTCCGAAAACGAGGTAAGTCCCAGCCTAGGCAGAACAGTGCGCATCTCAACCGTAAAGCAGTAACTAACTACAAACTTACGATGCCCTAACAGTGTACAGATACGGGTTGATAACCTGTATGGCACATTATCAAAAAGTTTATTATTAACTGTTACAGTCAAAACGTCGAAAGATAAAAGAGAAATTTTAGATACTTCTGTTTCGCTACTCAGATAACACCGAAATATTCAAATCTCTGAAGCCGAAGGTCATTTCAACATTAAGCCGCTTATCCACTAAAAAAGTAATCTGTTTAACGTTCCTCATAAATAAACTCCGTGAGGAAAATTGATAGTTATAGATCGTTAAAGCAAGTGGTACATACAGTTACCACCGGTATTTACAGAATTAACACAATTTATTGAAACGGAGGCATACGGAATATACCATAATTGCACCGTCATTATACGTTCAAAACAGGACAAGGAATTTTTATGACAAGGCTTAAAGGTTTTGAAAATCGCATTTGGTAAATAAAAGTAAGCTAAGAGTATACTGACTTGAATGCTGAGTAAAAACTGCACGTGAGGGAATTAGTAACTGAAAATTACATTTTTATGAAAATTTCTGTTAATCTAAGCTTCACCACGATTATATTACAACTACACATTCTACACCCTACACGCACGCACGTATTACAACTACACATTCTACACCCTACACACACGCACGTACACACACACAGACAAATTTTTCTCACTCTGTTTCATCCACACCGGATACATACTCACAAATACAAAAAGGCCTGAAAAGCAGGAATTCTACTTACCGACACGAACAGCGTGTAGTTTGATGGGATTTCTTTCGTTCAATGAATCTGAATTGTTGAATAACGCCAAGAACATCTCCCCATTTCATTCATTATCATCTGCTTTTGTAGTACGTCTCACTGGAAGATTCAAGAAAGGACATGTGTTATATTTGCTTGAAATAAAGAAAAGTTACTGAAAAATCTGCAGTTTTAAAACACAAAATAACACTACTTCACAAATTCTGTATCATGTTCCATGTATTTGTGATACTTTCATGACATCGGCCATCTTAAGATCATTCTTACAGACAGAAGATTAACCTATGAAACTAAATGTATAATCACATGACCTTATAAGCATTACCCAATGTCAGCCGAAACGAAATTAAAAGTTTCAAGGTCACAGGACGATTTTGGTGACAGCAGCTATAAAACACATGAACAGGAAATTACGGGGAGATTTTTAACACCAGACCAGCAATAGAAATCAAAACAGTTACTAAGGTTCAGTACCTGCCTCGAACTGTACAGATTTACAAAGATTTTACGATCATGTTTGATCATCTAAAAATATATTTTTGTTTCGTATACACAACGAACATGAAATTTTTACTTCGAACATCAAAATCTTTTTATCTTCGCCTTTATTAAAGCGGTACAACCACGCGAAATGAGATTTATTTCCATAATAAATACAATTCAGAGAACCAGACGCTCAGAGAAAATTTTATATTACATCGGGTCTATAGAAATGAAATGGGAAAATATGACCCAAACACATAAAACAATTAAATTAATTACTATATAAATTAATATATGTGAAATGCATGTAACACAATTTTAAGACACAACGTAAAGATATTCTAAAAAGGGATACATTTAAACGTCTGTCACATTTATAAGGTATTGTAGATGCGTCATATTGTGAATAGTATTAAAATATATAAATATTTAAAATAACCGTCAATCACAATAAAATTTAAAGATTAAAAGATTAAAATATCATATTATGTTCCCTATCGAGTACTCGATTTACATATGGAACTTACACAACATGTTTCGGCTAAAAGTAGCCATCTTCTGGTGTATTATATATAAACTTTTTACTGAATTGCTTTTTACAATTTTAATGACTTTTAATGATTTTTCTTCTGATGTTTTGTCCTTTATATTGATTCACATTCTGTCACATTGTATAAAAAATAATTGCATATATAAGACGTTGATCAGTGACCAGAAAAATCTTGACTTGGATTTTAAGACATTATTTCAAAAACTGAACTCGATCCTAAGGAAATCTGATGTTAATATTTTATAGTCAAGTATACATAAATGCCACACAGACTGAAGAGTGAAGCTTTGTTACAGCGTCGTGAGATTTCGAACGAACTGACGTGTGTGTGTATATATGCAAACATGAGTTACAACTATCAACTTCTTTCAGACATGAATTTGCGGTCAGATGCCTGAGGGCTTAGTTACGATTATACATCGCCATTTGCCATGCCACTAATAAAATACCACGTGAACCTCAATCAATGTAGAGGAGTAATTTTAGACCCCTAATCGTTACATCTCATTTTTCCTGAACCATTTACATTTTAATAATTTACGTAAAAATTATAATTCAATAGATTTTATAACATATTTAGATTTAATGAAAGTCTACTGCAAATAACATTCCTAACCAACCAATTATGTCCACGTTTCTTCAGCTGGTAATAAAATCCCCTGCTTTTAAAAAAAAACTGGAATGTTCGATCCTGTTCTATACACAGCCCACTGAATAAATTACACGCTCAAACCGAATTTTCCTAAGATTTACATAAATTATTTGCATCTTGAAGAAACATATTTGTTCAATTGGTAAAATAACTGAAATAAAAAAAATTCAAAAATAACGGTACATGGTGATTAAAAAGCACAGAATACTTGCCCTTATTTTTGGCAGGGATAATTGTTTATACTTTCGATTTTACAACACTTTCCACTGGAGCACATAGGTTGATCAGAACCTTTGCAGCACAGAAAAGCCGGTCACACCAGAGATCGTAAACTTTATTTCTGATTTACATCCTGGCAAGGGTTCCATTTATAGCAGGTCCGTGGCCTTCGAAACAGCCATTACCAATGCACATGACAGGAAAACAAATCACATAAAATTAACTGTGTAACGACATTTATGTTTCTCCAAATTCTTTTGACAACGTTTGATTTATTGTATTAACATTATGTTAGACTTTGTATATTGTCTAAGGCCAATCTGATGAATAGGATGTTTATGGCGTTCAGCCTAGGTTTAATGTTCGGTTATGGCGTTGGTTGGGGTCGAACCCCTGAAATTTTTTAACACTAACTTAGAACGCTGTCCGATCAGGGCGATAAAATGGAGTCTAGGGATCGCGGAGTTTACAAGTCAGTACTTCACCAAGGCACGTCGAGACGCTGAAAGATAGTGAAAAAAACAACCCACAATCCAGAGTATCTGAAGCCACAGAACGAGCTGTTTGCACACAGCTGGCTAAAATCACTCCAAGTCTCTGCAGCAAGAGATGTTAGACGGACCTTCGTACCTTCATCCACATCTAGAGCGTCTGCGCTAGAGCACTCTGACGCGCCTTGAAGCAAAACCAGACAGATAACGTTGCAACAGGTTGAATTTCTTCAGTAGAAGTTCACATAATCGATTTCACATTTCCATTCTTTAAATTAATCTACAACCCAAAACTATGTAAAACTTATCACAAGGAATTTTGAGTGTGTATGTAAGGTTAGGTTGAATTTCTTCAGTCGAAGATCACATAATCGATTTAACATTTCCATTCTTTAAATTAATCTACAACCCAAAACTATGTAAAACTTATCACAAGGAATTTTGAGTGTGTATGTAAGGTTAGGTTGAATTTCTTCAGTCGAAGATCACATAATCGATTTAACATTTCCATTCTTTAAATTAATCTACAACCCAAAACTATGTAAAACTTATCACAAGGAATTTTGAGTGTGTATGTAAGGTTAGGTTGAATTTCTTCAGTCGAAGATCACATAATCGATTTAACATTTCCATTCTTTAAATTAATCTACAACCCAAAACTATGTAAAACTTATCACAAGGAATTTTGAGTGTGTATGTAAGGTTAGGTTGAATTTCTTCAGTCGAAGATCACATAATCGATTTAACATTTCCATTCTTTAAATTAATCTACAACCCAAAACTATGTTAAACTTATCATAAGGAATTTTGAGTGTGTATGTAAGGTTAGGTTGAATTTCTTCAGTCGAAGTTCACATAATCGATTTAACATTTTAAGCTTTTATAGTTCAGGGGTTAACCATGTTAGCCCGGCCAACACTTTGATAAACGAAAAATAAAAAGTATTTTGTCTTATTTGCGTAGTTCAGCTGTATCCTTACACTACAACACAATAAAACCGATCAGATAAAATATATTATTTACCAGCTCCAGACAGCCAGCCAGGCGTTGTTAGCCAGGTAGTCGAGGCTTACATCTTAACCACCTATATAAAAACATTTTTGCTGTTACGATGACATAAACTGAAAAATATTAAGCTACGGACTTTATTGTATTAATTCAGATTATTTAACGACACTTTTTTTATCAACAATTATATATCGTCAAATGAAATTATTTAAACGAGACAGTAACGAAGAATTTATTCCACAGTTAGTGCTAAATGACTGAGGAAAATAACAGAAATCCTCGCTCATAAAAATCGATTCCCTTCTAAAAGTTCAACCCTTGTTCTTCCCAAATAAAACCTAGATAATTTACCGCTGTGCTAAGCTGTTGTACGATGTGATCTGTTGCGTGTAATTTTGCTTACGCGAAGAAAGGAAAACATAAGGCAAGGAAACGTGGGTAGAGTATCGATTACGTCAGTCAACTATTGGCCACTCTCCAATTGGATAATTTTGGTCGTCGTCCATATGCACTTGTAGTTCCTTCATTTCGTACACAGATGGCAGCCTTAGTGCAAGTACACAGTTTTGCTGACAAGTAATCAGAAAAGCAGAGATAATAATAATCTGGAGAAGACTTAATTTCACAAACCATCTTATCTACTGATTAATTATCATTTATGCTTCGTACAGTTGGGGTTCTTGGATTCATTTCTCGGTCTGTCATTGAAATATTAAACCAGTTACTCCAAGTAAGAGTATCTTAAATAATCCAAAATATTTTATTTCCATATATTTTCGATTTAATCAGTCTCAAATCACTTCACCATTCGACGCCAAGTAATACAGACAGACAAAAGAAGTGTTTTTTTTAAAATCATACTAATATTTTCTCGGCGTGGGCCCAAATATTTTGATTTATATTGACTTCAGCTGGTGGATTTTAAGGTTTTACTGTGAACAACATATAACTGTAATAAATTCGACTACGTCTCCTATCTCTGACCGCAAGCTTATAATATCGATTTCAAATAACGATGGATTTGTTGGGTTTTTGTGTCGCGAATCTATCTTTACGAGTGGCTTATTCAATCTTTCATATTACTAGACGTTTGTGCAAAGATCAGGAACAAGATACTTTTCTTAACAATTTCATGCTTGCGTATCGAAAAGACGTCAAATTTATATCAGAGGCAGCCAGAAGACGCTGGTGAGTCAACTAAAAATCGACGTCAGGCGTCGCGACGCCTAAAATTTCGACGCGTTCCAGAGACGCCAAGCGTAGCGACGAAGACGGTCCTAGGGCCTTAGGAACATTATCGCATACTCAGCGTAAATTATCATAACCTAAACTAACCTAACCTAACCTAACCTAACCTAACCTAACCTGACCTGACCTGACCTGACCTGACCTGACCTGAC